TAACATCAAAATAGTTAAGAAAGTTATAAATACCAATTTCATCATATACAGTACTACAAGGTGAACGACTGGACTAGTATTTTTAAAATTTAGCAGATTGAAAATTGAGAATAAATTATGTATCACTTAGTTTGTGAAGTATAACTAGATCTAGTACATATAGTAGTATAGATTGTGATAAGATTGGCAAGCATTAATATTCATGAAAATGCATAAAACTAAGTTTTAGAGTAGCACATAGTTTGTGACAGATTCCAGGTTCATATTTCCAATAAAATACTATATACATGACAGGAGAGAACCACCAGGCAGGGTAGAACAGTTGGCAACGTGTGTTACATTACACACACGGAACACTTACAGTTGAGGCCATCCCAGACATTCAGCTGCCTGCGGAAATCCTTCTAGTTATCGGCTTTTCGTAGGTCGTTGGGCAGAGAGTTTCATTTACGGGCAGCCTCATACTGAAATGACTTTCCCATACCTGGTAGTTTTTACCTTAGGTAAATATACAGTATCCTCCTGCCTAACATTATAATCAGTTACTTGTTTAATTACCAATTCTTGTATTTACCAAGGAAACGTATTGTTAATAAATTTAAACTTTTCGCATGCCATTATTCTAAAGCGTTATATGTGGAAAAAAGAAGAGTGTGTTTGAAACAGTAAAATCAGACTTATAGTCATTTAAAGCAAGACACAAGGCTCTTTCTTGTAATTTCCAAAATAAGAGGCCAATACTCAAAATTTGATAGATAAAAAAACTTGTAAATGGACATTCCTAATCTCTTCAATACGGCCCGCTGCCTTGATGCCTTTCTGTATGTTTGGACTGTGATCATCAAGATTGTCTATGTCAACACCAAGTAATTTCACAGAGTTTTCACATTTGATGTTGAAGTTCGAAATATTAAAAAGGGAAATACTACTTTTAAAGTTAAGTCAAAAACATATTGGGCATACAATTTGTCGGGTTCGGCCTTCATTCCATGGTTGTAAAAGCATTCAATAAGAATATAGGCCTCCCTTTCTAATACACTTTTCATTGTTTGGACACTTTCATTTGGTGTATTGTTATCTGCGTAATTATAAAATGTGGACTCCTTAATGTTGTAAAATATAAAATTGATAAAAAACATTAAACATCAGCGGTCCAGGGTAAGAAGCCCTGAGACACCCCTTTAAACAGTGGTTTTTGGTCACTAATGCTGGGGCCCCAGGCTACCCTCTGTTTCCCGTTCCCGAAGTAGCTTCGCAAGGTGCCATTAAGCCACTATCTCACATTCACGAATCTGAACGCGAATGAACACGATTTAACGTTTTTCCTTTTTTAATCGTGGTCGGTCGCGCGCGGTCGTATGGAGGTGGCAGCTTGGCTTAAATCGTGTTAAGACATTTGCATAAACCACAAGGTCGAGCACGAATCAACACGATTTTTCAACTTTCCTAAATCGTGTCCGCAAAACCTTAAATCGTGTATGTGAGATAGGGGCTTAAGCCCCTCGCAAACCGCCTTAGTCTGAAAGCGTTCTAACAGGTAACAGGTCACGAGGGAGGCAGTCTAAAACCTTGAATAGGTCCATTAAAATGGCGCCAATAAAAGTTGCGACCGTCCAAGGTCCCTCCAGCATACTGTACACAGAAGGGCAGTCTGAAAACGTAAACACTGAGGAAAGGGTAAAAAATATCCTTAAAGAATAATGATAGTTGATTATGGAGCAGTTTCTCATAAAGTTTAGAAATACTAGATATTATGCTTACTGGTCTATAGTTAATCTTTTTCAAGGGGGTCGTTTTTTTGAAAATAGGATTAACCTGAGCATATTTTTTCTTTTGTAATTGTGAAGTTATTTTGGTAACATCACTATCGTAGGCTGGTGAGAAAGAGACTTTTTTTATCATTTACATTGTTCTCTATATCTTTGACACTGGGATGCTTTTCTTAATCCACGTCGTTTACATTTACACGAATGTCATTTCCCACATTAGTAAGATGACCGTTAAAAGTTCCACATACCCATTTCTGGTGTGATAACACTTTACCATTTTCATTTCATAAATATAATTATCCAACTGACAGCTTTTTTGAGAGGAATGGTTTGATAGTCGGCCAACAATCGTTGGATTCGGGACCCTCACCACATCTCTCTCTCAAATACGTTGTTATTGATTTTTTATCACCGTGTTAACCAAATTGTGTTGTTTCCGATACCTATCCCAGCTTTCACTGGTTCTGGCTTTACAATATTTATTGAAACACATACGCTTTTTTTTATAAATTTCACGTCACATATCATCATTCATATATGGTAGTTTACTGGGTCTCGATTCCCGTTCCCTCAATGAAGCATTTGACTGGCTACCAGCCCCTAAGTTTTTATGAAGAATTTCCCAACTGCATTTTACTACTAGCTTATCTCCCTCTAGTTAATAACTTAGGATAAAAATTGTTATTAGAGTTTATTATTTTCTAAATGATTCAATATTCTAGAGACGGGGCCAATCTAATGAAGCATGTTCGTGTAGGACTTGATTATTGAGGTGTTCGTGGGTCCAATACAATTATGTAGGTAAAGTCTTTATAAACTGAAGCTGCCTGAAAAGAAAAATGACTAACATTTGTTTGGAAATTTGTATCAACAAAATTTTAAAACTTCGATACAAACTGGTTCTGCTATCAATGATAATATACAACATTTGATAAAGCGCCCTATCTAGCTAACATAAGCCACTCTAAAGCGCTTTACAGTACATAGATATACAATTAGCATATATTCATTAATCAATACAATTTTGAGGAATTACCTTATCAGCTATGCTATTGAACCTGGGTGTAATACCCTTTATTACTACACGTATCATAGCATGCAAGTCAAGGTAGGCCGTAGGTATTGTACCTGTTGCCCCCATTGCATTATCGTAGGAGGCGACTAAATTTGGGATCTTATCTTTTCTCTTCTTTCTAAACAACTTTCTTCTTCCTAATGTCTCCCTTGACAATGCCTCGCTATTGGCCTTCAGTTGAGCGTTCTTCCCTGTGAGGAAGGCTTTGGGTTCTGTCCCCTGGCCGAGACATCACATACCAGAGTCTGTAAAAATGGTAGTTTCTACTCCTGCTTAACGCTCAGCTATTTAGGAGTGGGACGACTGGTTCGCGCGTTATCAGTATAATGTGACCGGGTGGGGTGTCCTGCTGGGTGTTTTCGGCAGTATGTTTCAGTGAGGTAGTACTATAAAGTCGACATCAGTTCCGCGCTATTACACGGAGACAAACACGAACATATCGCAGCCTCCCAAAACACGCACGCATACACTACACGCATGCATCTTGCACACAGGGGAGGCCGTCCTCAAATGACTATATCTGTTGATAGGACGTTAAACAATGATAAACCAAACCAAACCACGTATAACACACCTGCAAATGAAACTCGTAGCATAATGTTATTGATTATTGGTTAGTATGACATCTACAAAAGAGGTAGCACAATTTATAGCATGACATTTAGGTGATTTAATATCAATTATAAAATTAAAAAAATATCACAGATGTCTATGAGAGGTGAGCATTTAGCTGGATCAAGCATGTCATAATTAAGGTCACCATTTATCAGAACAACAATTGTTTGATAATAAAAAAAACGTCCAGTATACTATGCGCTAGCATGACGGGATCACATGAGGGTTTTTAAACACAGTATCGGGTTGATCAACAAGTATATTTGTCCGATGATAGAAGTAAAAATTCCCAGGATAAACTTTGCCGCCGCCTACGCCAGTACAGGAAACTTGCATAACATTCCCGCCAAAGTGAAAATTAGAGAAATAGTTAAATGGTTTAGATGCATAGTCACCCAAACGACGTAGGAACGAATGCCAACATACCAAAGCAAGAAGCATAAGTCCTAGACCCATTAGAACATGTGACGGGAAAGTTGGTCTAGTGTGAAACAAAGGATCGATTTACCCTTGTCATGTTTGTGTCATCTGTGGGGGTATGCACCGACAGAACCGCCAGAACTGTATGCTCACAAAACGCTGAGTCTTAAGACGGATACAATACATATTAAAAAGTACAGAATAACTATTAAAAGTTTGTTATCAGTGTTCCACACCATTTCCACTGCTGGGTAATGGCACCTCTATGGACACAGGAGGGTCAAGGTCCGCAGCGATTGGTTCAGAAGCTGGAGATAAGGCTAATGATTGGACAGTCAACGACAGCTTGCTAATTTAAGACCGCTGACAAACGGCGATCAGGACTTGAGCTGCGGATTTTCCATCAGGCCTGATCACTTTGTCCTATTACTGCCTGACATGCCAGTCCTGTACCCAATTATTACTTAACTACACTCGTTTATACATGTAACTAGATTTACAAGCACATGCAACCGTATTAGGTACCATGATTAAATGGTGAAACGAATACAGCCTGACATAAAATCATTAATGTGTATGGGTACTAAATAAAAGTCAGATACTATTTTTCAAACGAGTACATTGTGCGTGTGGAGAGATATTTCACGAAAGCTTTAGCTCAAGTTCTTGCATAAAACTTAACTCATTATTACCAAAATTTAACACTTGATTTACTGACCTAAAACCTGAATTGCAGATCATTCAGAATGACACACAAATGGCGGACAAAAAGACACCATAACGTGAAATTGCGCTAAAACGTTCGTGACCAATCCTTGTTTTAAATCGTCATTTTTATTTGTAGGTAACCATTAATGAGTTCTAGACAAAAATTAGTTCTACTTACTGGGTAATAAAGCGTCATGTATTTTCACAATTGAAACACAGGATGTTGTTTTGCATGGCCTAAATACTGTCTGCATTACTATGGTAATATTCACTAGGTATATAATGATATACAACCACTGATCATGGTAGATAGATATGCATATCTTCACCAATGTTTATGTAAATATAAGTTGATAATTTGAACGCAGATGTCGCAAGACTAGATTGCATGTTTAATCCGGCTCTACTCCTCTGTTAAACAACAAGGGACAAGCAAGCGCAGGTCCAGATTTTCTGTCGACTCGTCCGGTAAGTTCATTTTATACACTTTTTCTAATTCTACATACAAACTGAATGATTTTCTAATAACCATTTGCGTGACAAGGTAGTTGAATTTGGTCAAACAGTACCGAGGGGTTGGTCGTAACCTTTGATATAATGACATTATATAGACTGTCCCACAATGACAAAATATCATAAACCACTTTTACTGTGATAGGTACTTCATTTTGAACAAAAAGGTTTTTCTTTAAAAAAAAATATATGACGATCTAGCAAATTTGTGTCCGTTATAGTCCAGCAAACGTATTTGACGTTAAGCCTTCATACGGATAATCACGGATTCATGGAGATACTTTATATAGGCGTGTCTGTAATTCAGTTCATTTGACTGTTCAATGTATGTCAATATATTTTATTGAAGTAATAAAAGAAATGAATCACGAAGATCCTGTTACTCGGCCACTTTTGAAAGTCGATATTACCAACAAGGAGTAACCTGGAATAGCAACCAGTAATATCTTACACCACAATTCACTAATATATAACCGGTCTTTAGGTTCACAGAACAACATTTTTTTTTCAATAACGCGAGTCAACTACCAACAAACGCTACAACAGCGGGATTGAGTTACCTTTAGTATTATGCCTCTTTTAGCATGTTCTTGCAATATATATCTCCATACATGCAGAAATGACGATCTAAATATTATTCATAATGTAAATTTATCTGAGGTTTTTTACGAAGGGTCAAACTTTATTGAGAGACTCCAGTTATCATGTTCAATGATAATTTAAAGATACTGGTTGGGAAACAAAAGACACGTCTGTGTTTCCTACACCCGTTAACCACATCACACATACATATCGGCATGGTGAGTATGTTGTTGTGTCTGCAGATAAAAGCATCCAAAACGTGAACCTTTTCAGCAAAGATGATTGTATTTCCTGCTTAAAAAATAAGCATACCTGGTAGCCAACGAAACCGTACTTATTTTTTTTTTCAAAAAACGAAATACAAATTAATTTCCCAGCGATGGTCAAGTGGTTAAGACGTCTGAAAATCTGCTATCACTAGCCCTCCACCACTGGGTCGCGGGTTCGAGACTTTCGTGGGGCAGTCGCTAGGTACTGGCGGTGGTCGGTGGCAAGTCCTTAAATGACTGTAACTGTTAATAAGACGTAAAACACAAACAAACAAACCAAATACTGAGGATTATAATGAGTATGGTTATTTCAAGAATAAATAATATCGATCTTCAGTATCCTTTCAAAAATGCTTTTTCTATCAGGAACTTTGACATCTCAAGTCAATACACCATCCCTTATAGCAATCCTAAGATACACCATCCCTCATACCAATCCTAAGATACACCATCCCTCATAGTATTCTTAAGATACACCATCCCTCATTGCAATCATAAGATACACCATCCCTCATAGCAATCCTAAGTTATACCATCCCTTATAGAAATCCTAAGATACACCATTCCTTATAGCAATCCTTATATACACCATCCCTCATAACAATCCTTAGATACACCATCCCTCATAGCAATCTTTAGAAACCCCATCTCTCATAGCAATCCTAAAATGCACCATCCCTTATATCAATCCTAAGATACACCATTCCAAATGGCAATCCTAAGATACACCATCTCGTTAGCAATCCTTAGATACACGATCCCACATATCCATCCTAACATACACAATCCCTTATAACAATACTAATATACACAATCCCTTATAGCAATCCTAAGATACACCATCCCTCATAGCAATCCAAAAATGCACCATCCCTTAAAGCATTCCTAAGGTAAAGCATCCCTTATGGCAATCTTAAGATACACCATCCATGTAAGCAATCCTTTGATACACTATCCCTCATAGCAATCCTAAGATATACCATCCCTCATATAAATCCTAAAATGCACCATCCCTTATAGCAATTCTAAGATACACCATCCCACATAGAAATCCTAAATTGCACCATCCCTCATAGCAATCCTTAGAAACCTCTTTCTTCTATAAGAAGGAAAAATAGAAATACAGTGGGGTAACATTACGAGGTATATCTGTCAATACTACAAAATCGTCTACATCATAAACCATACCTTACTACAATCTACATATACCTGATGAACCGTGACATGTCAATACCACCGACTGTTGAAGCAGGGATGTTACTTTGAAGAAACGGCAAGTCATGATTGGCAAACTGAAATAGTCTCGCCAATTGTAGCCCGAAATTGTTCTCGCTTTGATGTGACTATACATCGCAGATGTTGTCGACGAAACTGAACACCTTCAATTAAAGTGTCCACAGAAAAAGTTCATAATACAAACCTATTTGTTGATACGGATCCTCTCAGTTAGTTCTAAAAATCACCCCCGTGTGATTCACACCGGGCTTGCTCCATTATACACTACTCTAGTTTCATATTAGCATTCTAACATCTAAAATTCTAAGGTTCTAAAACTCTAACATTTTCTAAAAAAAAATTACCTTCGCAGTATTATCATTTTGTTCCATTTTTATCATAAGATATTCAATTGCATTTCCATATCAATAAGTATGAGGTGTCAGAAACGTCTGCTACCAGAAACAAATTAAGAATATTCGCCGAAAGGCCAACATTTTGTATGTCTGTTGGTGTTTTTTGCTTATTTAATTTATTCGTCAAGTATTACCATATAACAGGACGATTTTTTTCATTATACACAAAAACAACAACAAACGAATACTTGGAAGGAAATGCAAATCTTTGGTTGGGACTGCCGTTGTTGCCTTGATTGGTTGGGCTGACTGGACTGGTTTGAACCCTACGAAAAATATTGGAGGTCAACGCCTCCAGATACAGCTTAGAATTATTTTGCCTCCACTTGCGAAAATTTACATCATAGTTTACTGCTGGTCCCCCGCCTTCTGTACGATGTGCTGCACACTATGTACATATTTCATGAGGGGGCAAGCCAAATCCAGCTTTAATTGCACCACAACAGTAACAAACAATGGGAAGGCTGAATTCCATTGTTCCATTGATTTTATGGCAACAGGTGAATCGTGACGTCAAACTGCTCATAACCTTTGTTCTGCAGCAGGGAACCAAATCGGCGTACTGTTCGGCCAAGATTGTTTGTTTGATACGCACATCTACATTCACGTCCAAGGGACGGGAAACACATAGCATTGGTGGTGTGCTGACACTGGGGATTAGAGCTGGTGTGCCTCTCGTAATTTGAAGCACAGCTTGCTCCGACAACGGGACTATGACTACGCTGTCTACGCTGGTACCGGCTGCTATCTGTAAGTGGGGAACATCCACAGCAGATATACTGGGAGTCTGGGTAATAACCGACTGTTGGAAAGGTTCTCTACCGGCATCCTGCTGCAGCCCAAAAGAGCTGTTCATTGTTGCGGATGATGTCCCCAGTTCTGACTGTGATCCCCCAATGGCCATTTGTGGGGTCCCTGCTGTAGCCGCTGGTTGTGGAGGCAGTGAATGGCGGGTGCTGTATCTGTGCTGTTGAACCACCAGTCCTTCAACACGTATCTGCACCAAAAGCTCGGCTCTTATTGCCAAAAATGGTTGTACTGAGGCACCAGGAAGTGGTAGTTGTGGGCCTGGGTTGTTTCCCGGAAGTCGGGAAACAAATCCCTCGTCCGTCTCTTTGACCCTCGTAATTTGTCTTATTATGAGTGGCGCTCTGCCGCTGCCCGCTTTTTTCTGGTTAGTTGCATTCTGTCTCGCTCCAAGAAAAAAGAAAACAATTGGGATTAGGACATAAAAAGATGAAAAACACTGTATGATTGTACCTGACGGATGAATGATCTCAAAAATCTGAAATCATGAAAGATCCAACGCAAAAAGGCCTGGTAGCCTAAATTAATGCTATCAAATTAATACCATCCCCACCATGCAATGATTTATAATGAAAACAGTTATTAGAGTGCACTATTGATAATGAGATATAAAATGCACCCGTAACATATCTATAGCACACTATACACAATAAAAAATTGTACAATGAAGAATTCCACCGACCTACCACCTATGACAATGCAACTCACTAAAAGGCAAAACAATGATTCAAGAGCACTGTACCACCTATGCCAGTATACCACTTTAAGTGCAGACACATACATATGTACCACCTATGACAATGCACTCGCTGCAAGGCAAACCAATGATTCAAGTGCACTGTACCACCTATGCCTATACCACTTAAATGCAGACGCATGCAAGGCAAACAATGGCACCTGGTCAAGCAGACTTGACTCCTTTAGCCATCTTAAACAGCAGTAAAATGTAATAATGAATGAATCTTTATAAAGCACAGGCGGAAAGGTATAAATGTTGTGTCCTATTGCTAAGCTGGTTTTAGCGTTAAATTTGACTGTACCACCTTAGCCGCTTAATTAGGAACTAAGAGACAAAACAATGATACAACTTGGTCTAGCTGACCCAAGATACATATCAAATACCAACACACAACTGTGTACATGTAGTCTATAATAACCAGACTGTACCACCTAATCCATATATACATACCCCTTGGTCACACACACCTGTGATGGGCAAAACTCCAGAATGTACCACCTAGGCCATAAACAACACCTTGGTCACACACACCCGTGATGGGCAAAACTCCAGGATGTACCACCTAAGCCATATATAACACCTTGGTTACACACACCTGTGATGGGCAAAACTCCAGGATGTACCACCTAAGCCATATATAACACCTTGGTTACACACACCTGTGATGGTCAAAACTCCAGAATGTACCACCTAAGCCATATATAACACCTTGGTCACACACACCGGTGATGGGCAAAACTCCAGAATGTACCACCTAAGCCATATATAACACCTTGGTCACACACACCGGTGATGGGCAAAACTCCAGAATGTACCACCTAAGCCATAAACAACACCTTGGTCACACACACCTGTGATGGGCAAAACTCCAGGATGTACCACCTTAGCCATATATAACACCTTGGTCACACACACCTGTGATGGGCAAAACTCCAGAATGTACCACCTAAGCCATATACAACACCTTAGTCACACACACCTGTAATGGGCAAAACTCCAGAATGTACCACCTAAGCCATATACAACACCTTGGTCACACACATCTGTGATGGGCAAATCTCCAGAATGTACCACCAAAGTCATATACAACACAAATAAGTAATGTGTGTATAATATATTATATAGATTATACACATCATGTTACTATTAGTGTGTCCAGTATCTGTGGGGTTAGCAGAAACACAATATTTGTTTTAATTGGCCTTATTTAATGATCATTAATAGATCACACAGGGCTCGGTTTCCAATTCGGAAACCAGTTAAAACAGGAAACATTTATAACTGAGTTGTACAATTTTAAAATATCTTCTGTCTGAAATCTAAACATAACTTGGTTTATGACAAAAGGTGTAAAACAAGAATCTCAAACTGGGGAAAAGGTTTTCTATATAATCCCAAAAACTACAGATAAAATCCTTAAGCACTTACAAGATACAACAATAGTTATGCTATGTCAATTTTGCAATACATACAACATAAGCTGCAAAGAGCTTGTATTTGGACCAAACATGAGTATAATAGAGACCTAAGCATTATAACATGAAAAAAATAAAAATGAACATACATGTACTTTACTGTAAACAAAGAAAAATAATGTATCACATGGAAAGCATTTTGCACATAATAGGCACATTGCACAAGGTAAGCACATCAGCACATGGTAATTTAAGCACATTAAGCACATTTGCGTACAGCACATAAAAAACAAAACCATCACATGGAAAGCTTATTAGCTCATAGTAGGCACATTTGCACACTGTACGCAAAACGAAGGAGTGCAATGGACATCTCCATGTTTCCTGGTTAATTTATTTTTTCTGGAAACAACCAGGGGAGAGTGATGTTCTGCTTCCTCTTTTGTATTAATGAAATCCGTGAATATCTAAGTGCATGTGTTTAAACTGTCCTCTCTTTTAAAATATTTCCTTCTTTTTCCACAAGAGTACTGTTTCAACTTTATCAGGCTTTTCAATTTGGAGAGTAACATATAAAAAGGGAGATATCTTATTTTTATTTTTTTCTAGAACCTTTTTTATGTACACATGTTTTACCATCTAAGAATTTAGTTTGGATGTATTCAGCCCCCATGAGATGTGCTGTTATAAGCTGACATCTATGTACATTTTGTTTACATTTAGTTCTGCTACCAAAGAGAATAACTTATTGAAATGTTTGTGAACTATTTTAATTAACTCTTCAGCTTTAATTCTTAATTTCTCACTATACAAGCTCATATTGCTATGCCTCCTATTTTCTTAAATATTGTCTCCAAACATTATTAATGCTGGTGCAGAAATTATATGGTGACTATATTCTATTTTAGGGGGATAGTTGAACCTGAAAAGCAATCAATATTACAACAGACAGGGATGGTTATTGATGGGAGGAAGGGGGATGAGAAATAGGAACTAAATAAAATAACAGAATGTAATATGTAACTCGATGTTTGTTAATTTCACTCGATGTTACCGTGGTCAACTTTTGATATTAAATCTTGTGTTATATGAGAGAAATCCCACACCAGATTGTGTCTTGGCTATGAAAGCAATTATTTTCAAAGTTTTCAACCATATTTCTTGAAATTAAATTCAAAGTTCCATACATCAATTGTACAAGACAGTTTTAAGGTCAAGTTCATACAAGCAATGTGAAGGCTTTAACTGCCCAACCTGTACATGTGACGGAGACATTGTCAGTGCTTTCCTAACTAAGTATTTAAACAAAATTTCATAGAACTTTGCTCAATCATTTTGAACATCAAATCATGCACTACCTGTTAGCATATACACATGCAACCTCAACTTTCAATAAGTCTTGCTATCAGTTCTGACACCAACAATAATGACAACCGTAATGACATAGTATATGCTCTAGTGGGTTATATTTGAAAATGATATGTACATCTTATTTCAAACGCTGACCTTTATAGATGATAAAGCTTAGCATATGTTATAAATGTTATTTTTGTAAAGAGTTTATGCAATGGAAATAGAGGGGGGAAAATGTAACACTTTCTTCATCTCGTGTGTGTGTGTGGGGGGGGGGGGATATTGAAACATACATCAATGTATCTTTTCACTGCAGTGAATATGTGATACACTGTATTTAAAAGCTTTTCAAAATTTTTGACAGACTTGTAAAGGTATGCGAAGCAGTCATCCACTTGACTGTCCACAATTTGGTTTCAGCAAATTGACATTCTTAAATATTGTTCAGTTTTAATGAAACTTAGGTCGAAGGTAATATACACAGACTGATGCAAAATTTAAACTTGAACCAAATTCACTAATATTAAAAAGCATGCATACCCTGGTCAATGCCCACGCTTTACAAGATAACGTGCTTGAATATATATTGATCAATATATATATACATTAATCAATTAATTAGCATACTACGCTCTGATTAGTCAATAGTGTTTGCCCAGCAACTTTGTCAGATAAGACCAGATTCTGATGAAAGTTGGTTTAGATATTATTTAACAACAATGGCGAAGTTCAAAGATGAATAAAATCTGTGCATGCTCTATTAACAAAATTAGTTCTGATTTGAAGCTGGTTACCACAATAATTCAGTCAAATATGACTTGATTCTGATGAAACTTTGTCAACATTTTAACTAATAACAAAATCTGCTAATGATTTATAACCAATAAGGGAATATCTTTGGCTTTAATGGTTTAAAATATGCCAATTCCTGTTTTTAACGTTTGAAATACGGATAAAGGGAAGCAATTTCTATACAAATGAATTATGTATAGGTCTCAAATGATATATTCTAGAAAAAAACTTGGTATCTCTCTTCTGACAAACCTATAAAGATATACTGTACATACAAGAAGAATAACTTCACAGTTGTACACTTTTACGTAAAACTAGGATTCATAATCAAATTAACAATTAAACCTTCTGTACAATATGAAAGGCACTTTGTCTTTATTTTGTTCTCCATTCCGAAAATGATATATTTATCTTTTGCCTTAGCTTTCAAATATTTCAGTACTTTGACTATAAATATGTACCTTACCCATACAGGTGCTACTAGTGAGGAACAGTTGTTTTATCTGCACGAGTCTTAATCTACTATGTCGGTAGAGGTAGTCATTCCTAATATCACCCCAGGGACTGGGGAAGGACCACATTGGGAAGACAACACCCAACGCCTCGTCTTTGTTGACGTTGAACAGAAAACTGTGTTAAGATGGGATTCCCTGACCAGAAACATTGAAACGCTACAGTTAGGTAGGTATACAGTAGATTGCATGTAGGTGTACAGCTAGGCATTCATCATGTGCACATGGTCTGCATATGGTGTGCACAACTGCGCTTAAACAATTGTTCGACCGATGTGCGTTTCTCACCGCACAGATGTGCGATTTCGTACAATAGGTTGATTAATATCACGGAATGAATAATTAAGTTATGTTAAATTTTACAATGCGTGTTCTACGGTATTACCGTGAACGTTAGACTTTCAAGAGGTAAATAACATTCTTAGCTCTCCTGCTCGAAAGGCAAATGAGTTTATGCAAAGACGCAGCGTCCGTCCGTCCGTCAACCTTTCCTTTAAAACGCTATTGTCCTGAACGGCCAAGTAGATTTTGACTAAATTTGGTCGGGAGCATCCTTAGGCCAAGGGGACTAATTTTGGTATAAACGGTGGTGCCCACCCGGGGGCAGAGAGGTTGGGGCCGAATATGGGAAATACAGGTTAACCTTGAAACTCCTTCTTCTACTATAGAGATTTAGAAATGGTATCCCAATGTGGTCTGAAGCATCCATAGGCCAATGGGACTCAATGTTGTATAAACGGTGGGTGTGGTCCCCCTGGGGGCAGAGGAGTGGGCCCCAATAGAGGAAATTGTGGTAAAACCTTTAAAATTCTTCTTCAATCGTAGGGAATAAGGGATTTTATCTTAATTTGGTCTGGAGCATCTTTGGACTAAGGGGACTTAGTTTTGTAAAATTGGTGGGTTTGGACCTCCTGGGGGCAGAGTTTCGGGGCGCAATAGGGGAAATAGAGGTAAAACCTTTAAAATCCTTCTTCTACCGTAGGGATTAATAGAATTCATCCGAATTTGGTCTGGGGTATCCTTAGGCCAAGGGGACTCAATCTAGTACAACAGGGGGTGTAGGGCACAGAGAGGTGGGGCAGAATAAGGAAAATAGAGGTAAACATTTAAAATCTGTCTGATACCGTAAAGATAAAGGGATGTTATCCTAATTTGGTTTGGAACATCCTTGGGCTAAGGGGACTCGATTTTGTATAAAGGGTAGGTGTGACCCGCATTGGGGCAGGTGGGTTGGGAGCAACTGTTGAAATAGAGGTAAAAACCTTTGAAATCCTTCTTCTACAATAGGGATTAAGGGATTTCGTCCTAATTTTGTCTGGAGCATGCTTGGGCAAAGATGGATTAAATTTTGTATAAACAAAGGATGAGGCCCCTCTGGGTGCTTGCAGTAGCGAGGCCCAATAGGGAATTTGAGGTGTAAATTTTTAAAATCTTACTTCTTCTCCATTGGAGGGATTTTGTGTAATCAGAATAATTTCCCATGGTTGCTTTTTTATCCTTGTGAGCAATACAGGCTCTCTGGGCCTCTTGTTTTGAATGACCGGGGTTTCACCTGGCCTGTGCCTGACACAGAGTGTCCTTATGTGTTGTAATTATACACGAGTCGTTTAAAAAAACTACAAAAAAACACCATTTCTAAATTTTCAAATATATATTTAGAAAGAAAAGCTTATAAAGGTAGCTTGAACATAGGAACATACTTAAAATTCAAGTCTATATGTTGAAACACGAAACCGTTCATATTGTTAAGCCATTCCGTAAATTTACACCAACCACGATTGTTATCGCACAACTTACGTCCATAGTGCGCACAAATGCGCGCCAATAATAATCGTCAAGGTTTTCATCGTTCGCGCTTGGTGGGCACACCGTGCACACATCGTTAGCACACCGTGCATACATCACACATCATGTAAAGTTGTGCGATCCCACATACCTATGTGTATACATCACACAGAACAGTAGTACCGATAACGATTTGGTTAAACTCGTTGTTTCTCTTGTTGTATGTAGAGGACATGGTTGGCTGCATTGTGCCATGTAAGAAGGGAGGATACCTGGTTGGAGTCGGACGGCAGCTAGCACACCTAAACTGGTCTTCAAAGAATCTGACCAATCTACACGAGATACCTCTTCACGGTATTCAAAACATGTTCAACGATGGGAAGTGTGACCCAGCCGGCCGATTTTGGATAGGTACGTACCAGGAATAGCGCCTGATTACAATATTACTTTAGGTTTCAAAGACAGAAAAATGCAGTCAGAATAAAGAATGACTTTTAGTCGAGTTTCGAGTCAACATTCGAAAACGTCAACTCACAGCTCGAAAATGTTCGCTCGAAACCCAGGAAATGTCCATCAAACCTCGACTAAGAAAAATCTTGGAATCCTAGTTTGTGCATTATTCTGAATATCTCCATGTTTTTGTGTGATTCAGCAAAAACACACTTACTTGAGGTGTGATTTATTTATTTTTGTCTTTGTTTTTTTCTTTATTTGAATTAATATAAACTTTATGTATTTTACAACAATATGAAACAAGTTATTTACACTTGTATATGAATCACTCTGGTTGGCCTGGATGTAATTAGCCCTCGGGTGTCATGATGTGGGACGAAACGGTAGTGCTCAGAGAAAATCAACATGGTCGGGCAGGTCAACCGTTTATCGTCATATCGGGAAATCAATATTTTATTAATTTCATTTCCTTCAAAATTTCGAAACAGTTTGTCAGACGTGTGGAATAAGAACGTGTTACATTAGAAAAGTGTCAATGTGTAGCTCTGAATGTTCGATCAGTGTATCACTTAAAATGCTTCAAAAATCAAGAATCAATGTTTTGTCTTAATGAAAATGCAAAAAGAGATCAATGCTGCCTCAATTGGAACGCTATAATAGATACTTACTGTATCAATATGTCATGTCCATAAGCTGTTTTAAAATATGTTTCAGAAATACGCAGTTTGTTTTTATAATGTTTAACGTCCCTCCCTGTGATAGCGCGGATCTGATGCCGACTTTACAGTGCTATCTCACTGAAACACCATGCCAAAGGCACCCAGCACAGCATTCCACACGGTGACATTATACTGACAATCTGAGCACCCGTTGTTTCCATTATCCTTAATGCTGAACGTTAAGCAGAAACATTGTTCATGTTTATACAACAAACGGTTCCGTTAATGTAGTGCTATATTTATAGGTAGTACGGGTAAGACTTTGTCTTATGAACCCCTGGAGATAGAATTGGAGAAGGGGAAGCTGTACTGTCTTGATTCAGACGGCTCCTTTCACAAACATCTGGACAAATTGAACGTCTCCAACGGTTTGGCGTGGACATCTGACCACAGGACCATGTACTTTATTGACAGCATCCCCGGCCAGATCATGGCCTTCGACTATGACGTCACTTCCGGGAATATAAGTACGTATAAATGACCATGGACTGTCTATTTCTTTGGTTTGGTTTTAATTTGTTTCAAGTCCTATGAACCGCTAAGGTCATTTAGGGACGTGCATCACTGTGTGTTTTGTAAGCGTATATATTTGTATCTGTGCCGGAGACAGGTTATGTTTGTGTACTTGCATCCTTGTTATAGCGCAGCTCTGATGTCGAATTTATAGTGCCTAAGGCACCCAGCACAGCATTCCGCCCGATCAAATTATAATGACATCGGGTGAACCAGTTGTTGCCATTTCCTTAAATGCCGAGCGTTAAGCAGGGAATACAAATTACCATATTTAAGGATGTCCCGGGCCTGGAGAAAGAACCCATTGTCTTTCTCACTTGGATAAACGTTCAACCTTAAAGCCAAAAGCGAGGTGTTGCCAAACAAGGCGATCGGAAATGAAAGATGATTAAAAGTAGAGAGAAATATTAATATCCAAAATATTGCAATAAGTGCAGCAGATTTATTCTACAATGGGCGAATATCGATTTTACTAAGTTTAACGGACTAAAATTTTCCGCCTACTAAGAGAGGCTACTATGCGCCATAATGACGTAATATTGCCTCTTTCCAAAATGAACTGAATACCCCCCCCCCCCCCCAAGCTTTTACATTTTTGTTGTTGTCCTGGAGCAAACGATATTTGTAATTTGTACATAAAGATTTCAAAGAGACTGAAATGTGTTCATTTTTAAGTAAATATGCTAAGTTACCTTTAAAAATATATCATACTTAACATGAGCAATGCCTCTCTAATTCAAATTATATTGTGCATGTGATATCCAACCACATCCAGTGAGTAATATCTTTGCTCACAACGATTAATTCAGGTAACAGAAGGACAGTGGTGGACTGTCGCACCCTAAACCTCACTGATAATGGCAACGCAGGTGTACCAGACGGTCTGACGATCGATACCGACGGAAATCTTTGGGTCGCTTTCTATGGTGCCGGACTGGTTGTCTGCTTCAATCCCCAAACAGGTATGATATACTCATAGTATTATTACCTAATCTGGTGTACACTGCTATTCAAAAAAGATGTATTAGTCCCCATTGGTTCCCGGGGGCCCTATAGGTTTGCACTCTGTTCGTCCTTTCTGTCCTGACGTCCAGGGCATATCTTATATACTATTTGACCTGGAGTAACAAGATTTGGTGAACAAGGACATCTTGGGATGGCGGAGTGTATAGTGTAAGAATTTTGTCACTGTGGCCTACGACCTGACCTTTGACATTTACTTTTGAAAATGTTTATCAGGGGCATAACTGATATTCTATTTCACCTGTAGTAACCATATTTGGTGTACAAGGACATTTTGGGATGGCGGAGTGCAAAAATTCGGTCACAATGACGTGTGACTTGCCCTTTGACCTTTACTTTAAAAGAAATGTCCGGGGCATATTTTCTATACCATTTCAGTTGGAGTAACAAAATTTGGTGTACAGGGACATTTTGGGATGGCGGGGTGCAGGAAGGAGGTCATTGTGACCTCACTGTGACTTATGCTTTGACCTTTGACCTTACCTTATAAATTGTTTTATTTTGATTTTGTCCGGAACATATTTTCTATGTTTTTTCATCGGCTTTAACTAGATTTGATGGAAATATTATTGATTTCGGCAAGGATGTCTTTAATGTATCAGGACACTCCCTTACAGTAGGTACATCCTGACCAGGCCAGGTAAAACTCCGGTCACTCATCAATTTGTTATTTACCTGTTCTGTTACCTAGGAGCTAAACCCATTCTTGACAGTCTAACGGTCATTGTTACACTGTGTAACACGCATTGTAAAATTGTACATAATCTTAATTATTGTGATGAGAAATTACAGTAATATATACAGTGTACATTATTGCATACGAGCCTTCCGTATTTTTTTCATTCCGTAATATTGATCAACAAATTGTACCAAATCGCACAGTTGTGCGGAGAAAAGCGCACAACGGGGCAAACGATTGTTAGATCGCACAGATGTGGGCCCCATGTGTGGACGATGTGCGGACGGTGTGTGAACGATGTATGCACTGTGCTCGCACGCTATTTTTGGTGCGTTGTGCGGTCCCACAACTGTATACTGATCTTAGAAAAAAATAATCTTTCCGAACGTTTTGATCAATATCTTCATAGAACTAAGGTCCATCCGGGCACCCTGTAACTGGAGATCTGGATATTTCCATAGTGATAAGCCGGGAGACTCATCAAAGGTAAACGTGTCGAAAACTCGTTCAATATAAGCTGGATTCCGTGGAAGACCACACCAGACAATAAACTAACAAAGAGAATGTTGTATCAGATGCACTTTCAGATGGTTGAGTCGTTCAGGTGCATCTTTGTCAAAAGTATAGTAACTTGCAAATAAAGTTTAAATCAAACACAATTTAATATCTTTTATTCCGTTACGCACTCAACGATTGGCGTAACTAATACAGGGGTGTCAGCGTTTCAGTTGACAGATTTTGCGTTTTCATTCCGTTTCAATTCCATTCCATTCGCGTTTTCATTTCATTCCGTTCTCAAGATTCAATTCGTTCCGTTTCCGTCGCAGACTGTTTTTTTCGTTTCGTTTTGCTACGTTCCATTGAAAACCCGCTCTGTCCTAATCGTTCCGTTTCGCTCCGTCCTGTCTCCGAGTCGCGCGTTCGTTTCGTTACATTCCTGTTCCGTTTCGTTCCATCTGCTAGGCGCTTGTATATTGACGTGAAACAAAATGGCGGTGGTAACAGAGGCAGACTCAAAAACTTATCGACTCAGTTTTTTCAGACAACTCTACATGATGTTTCGATTTTTGTCGAACAATGGCTGTTAGATTGAAAAAAAAATCCGACAACTCTATGTAATTACGGGGGTTTGTAGGGTTCCTTGCCGACGTGGAGATTCTCAGATATAACCAAGCCATGATTTGAGGTTCAACATTTTATTCATTAAAATATACACATAAGACACATACATTTCGTATCGAACGTACCTGATTGTAACATTCCAAACCACACGTTTTCCAAACGACCAGACTATAACTGGACAATACATAATTGACGAGATAATTTACACAATGGCGTACGCAATAATATATAAATGTAGTTTACACTATAATGGTACGTTCTCCATTTATAAATATATAAACTAGAATTCTAGTGAGAATAAATACATACGCTCTACTAAATGACAAAAATATTGACCACACCCATCGGCGAAAATATGAAGGTAAATTAGAAATAGTCAGAAAATAATAATTTCAAGAATAAATAATACTTTACTTCTTATTCTATACTAATTCCGAATATATAAAAAGTATTATTCTAGCCTATAAAATAAACAGAACATTGACCTATTTGGTACCTGGGATATACTCCGTTCATGATGCTAATAATGTAGATTGAGATGATGTGATCGATGTGTTCAGTATGGAAGGTATCGATAAAATGGGCAGATAGAAAGTTCCGAGGTAGGGAAGAAAACTTTAGGGCGGGAAAGATGCACGCAATGCGACATATGTCATAGGTCATTGGTCAAGTTGTCAAACTAGTTTACAAAAGACATACACAACATACACAATACGTCACATAGACCACACACGTATACACATCTAAAAACGAAAGTAGCGATGACGTGATACGGCGACTTCGGTAGTGAAAACGCGGCACGGATAACGGAATGAAAGAACAAAATACGGATTAAAATATAAATAATGAAATCGTTGATTATATTGTTACTAAAGAACTCATATTCAGTATGTTCCCACTGAGTATGTACTTATTCAAATAATTATGAATATCAAAATAACAAGG